TGGCATGTGCTGGGATCTCAGTCAGTTTTTCATTGAAGAGCTCTAGAGGTGCATCTTTTTCTGGGCACTGCTCAGAACAGTGGCCCGGATCTCACTCTAAGAGAATGTCTGTGGGGCTCCCTGCCAGCCTGCCCCAGAGTGAAGTCCAACATCCACTCTCTATGGGCCCAACAAGGTCAGGGTCGGCTACATTAGCCCCACAGGGTGCTGGGTCATTGAGTACCACATGACACCTGGCTATATCCTGTTTGGGTTTTCTTGCTAAGATACCTGTCCCCAGTGTCAGGCTTGAGACTACTATGCAAACTTGCTCAGACATGGATCGAGCTATGGTGGTGTGGGCATCCCGCTCTCCATGATACCTCCCATGCCTGTCTTTACACCCCCTCTACAGTGATGGTATACTCTCTGGAAAGATAACACTCATGTTAACTGCCAACGTTGACTGCAACGTCAAGGGCTTTTCTGAGCACTTGGAACATGGTGGCTCCGCAGTGCTGCCAGCCAGGTGTTACTATCACCTTCGATTTACCTATGAGGTACCTGAGGTGTAGAGAGTTTAAGTCACTTGTTCTAGGTCATATAGTAAGTGAGTGACAAAGCTGGTATTTGAATACTTGCTCTGGCTCCTAGTCACCGCTGGTATTAAGATATTAACTGTTTAAGTTAATTCTTGGATTGGGCAGGGGGTACAGACCTAAGGAAGCAGCAGCTGAGGCCTGCTCTCCCCACCCCTGCCCTCTGCAAACCAGGAGTTACCATCATGGGGCTGGGTGTCTGCAGAGGTGAGGCACTGTGTTACATGATTTACATTTGAGACCTTAAGGAGCAAAGCATCCTTCTCCCCATTCGGGGAGGAAGAAATGGTGATACAGAAAAGGGAATGTGCTCAACATACTCAGCTAGAAAGAGTCAAATCTGATATTTGAGCCAGAAAATAGTAGTGAATTTTGAGAGAATAAAGGAAGTAACTTGCCCAAGATCCCAGGACACTGAGTTTTAAGGTTTGACATTGAGCAAGCACTTCCTTCTCTACTTGTCAGTCTTTCCAGGCTGTAAAGAGAGAGGCCTTTGCTAAGTCATCTCTAAGTTTGGATTCCATGAACTTGGTAAAAATTGGAGTTTGGTAGCAGTGACATCTGGGTTCAGATCTCAAAGTCCCATTTACTAGTTGTGTGATCCTGGACAAATCAACCTCTCTGAGCTCAGTCTCGGCAGGTACTCGTTGAAAAAGATGCACCCTCTAGAGCTCTTCAGTGAAAAACTGTGGCTGAGATCCCAGCACATGCCAAGCACACAGAGGGTGACCGACAAGTCTGGGGCTCCTTCCCCTCCCAGGTTCCTCCGACTCTGTTTCTGAAATTCGAGCAGCTAAAAGGTCATCTAGCAAGGCCTAAGGAATGGGGACAAAGTGGCAGAATTTGCAGGGTCTTTAGGAGGGTGGAGAACAAGCCTCCTCCCAGGCAGGGGTGTTTGAGAAGGGGATGGCAGCTACAGGTTTGGGAAAGTTGAGAGATGATCCCAAAAGGATGAACACCTACCACTCAGAAGGCTGGGTGAGGCCAGGAATACCTGGGGCAGTGGACATGGGAGAGAAAAGGGACAATATCAGAAGACAAGAAAGAAAGGAAATAGAAATAGTGGTGCCACCATGGAATTATGGAAAACTAACATTTCCGACAATGAACCTGTGCCTAAAAATGTGTTCCCACCAACTCATCAAAAATGTACATGAGATTTTATAACAGGAGGCTTTATTGGACAGAATCACAATATATACTTTTGTCCCTGTATTAACCAGCAGTTCCATCATAAAAATATATTACAACATTTGATATGTATTCACAAAACACAAGCCATTGTAAACAGAGCAGGCAGCACTGGCCTTGGATTCAAAATTCTTGAGTCTCATTTCAACAGAAAACAGCTGTTGGCAAGTGTATTATGCGGAAGGTGATATTGCCACATTGAGAGGGCTTCTGGTAATATTTAAAAAAAATAAATAGAGCCATACTTCCGTTAAATAAATTAGGAGAAAGCAAAGTTAAAGCTACAGTGTTAACAAACATCAGAGGATGCTAAACTCTTGCTTTATTTATTTTATACTTGGTGCGCTACTGTTTTTGCTTATGAAAACTCACAGGTGCACAGAGTCATGGGCGCACAGAGTCATGGGCACATTTTCTCCAATACAAACACACAGATGTTCCACTCATTTTCCTATGAGTCTGACATTAAAAGATTGCAACATCGTACAGAAGCCAATTGTTTGAAGATCACTTTGTCCCCGGGAATGAAATAGCTTTTGTTTTTCAAGATTCTGGTTTCCAAAAGTTTTCCTGAAGTGCATTTAATATAAAGTGCATTTCCATATGGAATGCTAACCAAGCTGGCATGTGCCTTAGGTTTCCTGAAGGTGGGTTCCCTCCTTTCGTCTCCTGGCCACTCTCTGGATGTGAGTTCCCCCCACCCCCACTTTGCACAGACACCAAAATACAATAAAGTCTACAAAAATGAAAGGAATGCAGAGACTTGGACTTCAGAGTGCTCACTGCTTGGAGACTCCAGGAGATCTGAGGGGTAGCATTTAGCCAAGTCTCCTGTCACTTAAGGGAAGTGATGTTTCTCCCGTTGGATACTGGTCACAGTAAGGGCCCTGCGTGGGGAGACGGGCCTGCTCCATGAGGAGGGAGAACAGAAATAACTGAACTGGTCTACTGGCATCTGCTCTGCATGACACCACAGCAAAAGGATAGATGCATTCCCTCCTAGGAGATTCCTCACCAAAATGAATAATGAACATCCAGGTGGCAGGGACTGGAATTTCTTCTCCCAGATGAGCCTGGGAAAGTAAAGACTGGCCTATTCCAGTTCTAGAAAAACCACCCCAGGTGGTAACAAGGGTAAGGCAAGCCACCTTTCTGATTTGTCACTGGACTTCTAAGGCTGGTTGTGAGTTATAGATAGCCAACTTTCCCCTGGGGAAATCCTGATGAGGTTGGCCAGACACCAGACTCCACAAATGTCCCTACACTCCAGAAGAGGTTGTAGTTACACATTTGTTGTAAAGCAGGATTGTTGAGGTTTGGAACAATTTCAGTTTGCGAGGAAACTTGGCATTCGAAGGTTGTTAGAGCAGGGGGGTTGTTTACTATTAATAATTCAAGCAAAGATTTGATAATAAGTGAGTGGAAGGCGAGGCAGTGGCAGGCTGAGTCTTTGGGGGCTGAGTGTTTGGTATTTCAGTCAAGGCATGAGTAAGCAACTATGATCTGGTCCTTAGGAAATTGACCATCTCAGGTCACCCAATCAATTGAGTGTCAGTGTGATGGCATCTGATGCTTCCTATACCTCAAACCCATTCCTTAAGGATCCTCCAGGGTATGACTGAGGCCCGGGCCTTGATGGTGACACCACCGTTCAAAGGAAACTCCCTATCTCCAAATACAGATTTAGGCTCTTTGAAACCATCAAATCATGGGCTTCGGATTCCATTAAACACGTGCGACAATTCTGTGCTAGGAAATACGTACGACATTGACTACACAGAGTCACTGGGCATGCGTGAGAGGACACAGGAAATGCCACACAATGGTGTTTCAAAGAGCACACACTTAGTCTTTGAGTCAGAAATCCAAATTACTTTAAAAGTCCTTAAATATGGGTATACATGATAAACTACAGCACTGCTAAGATTGATTCGTGTCATAAGGTTTGACCTTTAAATGCTAGATACATATTTACATGACACACCGTGTAAGTGGCGAATTGTACAACGCCCAGAGACGGGTGTGAGAGTGAAAGGAGGTTGGCTGAATTGCTAAGTAGGATGAGGACACCTTTTGCCAGCAGGTTGTCTCTGCTGTGTGAATGCTTCCATTTGTCCCCAGGGATATGTGGCAGTGCCCACTAGGACTTTACCCTGATATTAAATGTGTAGCACTCCCTTCCGAAGACATACATGTGTTCCCCTCAGGATATTGTCAGAGGCTGTGCCCTGATCAATGTGGTTAGTTTCTTGACAATGAATTATGCCTCCCCTCCCCCTCACTGTATAATGTAGACGCTCCTCAAAATGAATGCTATTCCTCTCTCTCCCCCCCTTCCTTCTCCTCTCCCCTCACTTCCTCCCTTCTTTTATTTTCTTGCTTCTCTACTTTTCTTTCCTTCTTGCTTTTTTTGGGGGGGTAGCTAAATATAAGGCCTGACAATTAAGTTTGCAAACTTGCCACCGTGCGCTGACGTTGGCAGCCCCGTACAAAACAACTCGGTAAGGTCTCATCGTCTTGGTATATCGGCGTCTCAGCTGTGTTCGTGTTGGCACGTGGCGGCGTCTTGCTGAGTGGCATTCATGATGGTTGCTACATGTTTTTGTGTGCTGTCGCGAGCATGTTGGAGCTTGAGTGAGAGCAATGAACAGATATTAAATTTCTTGTTAAACTCGGCAAGAGTGGAAGTGAAATCGGGGAAACGTTAGTCCAAGTTTATGGGGATAATGCCATGGACAAAACAGCAGTGTACAAAAGGATTAAACATGTTTCTGAGAGGAAAACATTACAAAAATTCATCAGATTGTGTGTCAAAATCATCAGCTGACTGTGAGAAGCATAGCAAACCAAATAGACATCAACAGAGAAACAGGAAGATCTTAGTTGAAAATCTTGGCATGAGAAAGGTGTGTGCAAAAAATGGTCCCGAAGGAGCTCTTGCATCATGACAATGCACCAGCTCACACAGCACTGTCTGTGAGGGAGTTTTTAGACAGTAAACAAATAACTGTATTGGAACACCCTCCCTGCTCACCTGATGTGGCCCCCAATGACTTTTTCTTTACCTAAAGAAAAAAGGAAATATGGAAAGGGAGACATTTGGATGACATTCAGGACATCGAGTGTAATACAATGACAGCTCCGATGCCCATTCCAGAAAAAGAGTTCCAAAATTGCTTTGACGGGTGGACTAGGAACTGGCGTCAGTGCATAGCTTCCCAAGGGGAGTACTTCACAGGTGACCATAGTGACATTCAGCAATGAGGTATACAGCACTTTTTCTAGGATGAGTTTGTGAACTTGCTTGTCAGATTTCATACACATGGATTTTCTCTGTGCTGTCTCTTCTTAAAAGAGATCTAATTCTGCTACTCCCAACTTAAAGACTCCAACCATCTCCCACTGGCCACGGGTCATATTCCACCCGTCCCAGGAGGCACTTGCCCCTCCTCCCAGCACTCACCTGGCACCATTCCTGGACCCAGATTGAGCTCCACCCCACCTAGACTCCCGGGCAGGCTCCTATCTCTTCTGTATATTGCAACATGTTCTTCCCTACTGTAAGTTCTGGCCCATAGGTCACCACCTCTGTGAAGCCTTCCAGAAACCTCTTTCCCTGCCAGTCAAGTTCGCTGACCGACCCCCTGCACCTCCACAGTCCTGAACATGCACCTCTGGGGCAGCCCAGTTGCCCATACTGCAGAGGAATGACACGTCTCCCTAAGAGTCTGACACAACCTAGGACCTGGTACACAACAGGTGCTCAGTAAATGTTTGAGGAGTAACAGGTGAATCTTTTCACAGCTCCGGGTTTGAGCCTGCAGCTGCAACATGCCACTCACATAACCACTCTGGGATTCAACTCTTCTGGGTCTCTAGCCGACGGCTGTTTCTTCACGGTAATGTCTCTGTCAGGTTGAGTGCAACCACTGTGAATCCTAGTCGCTTCCTGTTCCTGACACCGATTCCCTGGGAAGTTGGACAATTGCATTCCTTGGAATCTCTTACCCCTCTTCCATAGGTAGCCATCCCCCAAAAGTGTCGGGCTCCTGCTTCTTTGCATGTGTTTGTGATAGGGTGAGTGAGGAGACCTTTGACCTCATGGCTGCGTTTGAACTGGAGAGACAGGAGCAAGCCTGAGGTTCCAGCCACCTTTCTTTGACCGGGCCAGAGCGGCAGCTACCAGTGGCCCAAAGGCACCTAGCCTGGGGTCAGACCAACTCTTTGGGGGCTAACAGGCCATCAGTCTTGGTGAAAGTGGGGGCACCTGGGAAGGTAGAGAACTTACAGACCACACGGCTCTCAGACAAGCTTCTCCCCCGAACCTTCAAGAGCAAACGGTAGAGGCCAAGTTCTGCCCAGCCTCTCCTCATGTCTGGCTCAGCCCAGGTCCTAGAGCCAACGCCAAAGTCCTCCATGTAAGTCCTCCCGGCTGCAAGGCACAAAGAAGTTCACTTCTGTGCCAGGGGAAGTGCTGTGTCCTGCTGATGCTCATGGAGACCGACGGCCCAGAGTTTCTAGAGATCCCGGGTTGAAAATGAGGCTTCATATACCTAAAACGATTAATCAGATAGATTTCCCGTAGGTGGTAAGGGCTGTGAACCACACATTCTGGGCACAGAGGTTGCTACTAAGTAGTTTTCTCAGAAGTCCCCTACAAACACACCAGTAGAAAGACAAATCTAGAGAATTCCTTCCAAAGCAAGTGCAAGCCACAGAATGGGAGGGGTCCCAAAGTCCAGCTGGTAGGTGTGGATAGGGTCCCAAGGCCCAGGAACTGAGCAGGAGTAGTTATTTGCTGATGGTAGAAAGCCACGTGCTAAGCCTAGAGCTGCCCAGAGTTGGGTAAAATTGGGGACCTACCCCATTATTTCTGGTCTGCTCTTCTTGACACCACTGTCGTGTTTTTTGTTTTGTTTTGTTTTGTTTTGGTTTTTGCCTCTTCACACCTCTCTGCCTCCAGGACTTATAAATCTTCCCAGATCCGTAAACTCGCAACAATAATATACTGACATCAAAGGACTATTATGAAGATGAACGGAGACACTAGCCCAAAGCACTTAGACACTAGCTTGGCTCCAGTCTCCACTCAATACTCACGATCTATTAAGACCACAGTCATTTTTGCTAGTTGCTCCTGGAGGACCTGACATGGTCAGCCACACCAAATGAAGCTGGAAGCCATCGAGAGACCGACATCCAGAGACTGGCATGGCATCCAAAACTTTCTCTCCCTGCCCTGCCTTTGCCTTGATCAGCTCCTCAAGTATGAGGCTGGGTGGGAAGAGGGTGCGACAAGCTCTGGGTAGTGACAGAGTTATCAGACATTATTGCGTCCCGCAGACAGGCAGCCCCAAGCAAATGTCCCAAGGGAAACCCCCTGTATACCATGACTCCCTTCTTCTAGCAGGGCTGCCTGATTCTGAGCTAGCAAGCATGTCTGTCCTCTGCCAGCACCCCAGATGCATCTCAGGCTCACAAACTGGGAGCCCCGCTGAAAGGAATAAAGTTGGAATTTTAGAATGTCATGGAGAGATCAGTTTTGTCCCTCTGAGAACAAAGTGCCCCAGCCCTTAAACGAAACTGGAGATTAAACTGTCTGGAGAATCAGGGAAAGATACAAGACAATTTGAAACTTAGGTATTTGGAAATGCCCAGTTTTCTGTAGCACGTATCTATAGACACTTATCCAAGTGTCTAAGATCATTTTTCCCTAGGTAGTAGTTTGAAGACCACCATGTCAGTTACTCGGGCCTTGGTGATTGAAACTATGGAAACCCAGGTCCTGCCTAGACCTGCTTAGACTGACCTCTGAGGAAGGGATGCTGGAATCCGCATTTTAAACCACCGACTTTGGTGACTCTTGTGGATAGTAAAGTTTTAGAGTCAATGGCTCCATTCCAGATACATGAGACCCGAAATTCATCCGGGATCTCCTTTTCTCATGGAGCTCACAGTCCAAAGGACATTAGCCAATCCAAAGGGTTTTTGGAACCTGATGAAATAGCCTCATTAAAATGAGGCAAATGGGAAACTATGGTGGGGGGAGGGAGATGGGATTAACAGTAGCAAATATCTGTCAGGGAACGGGGAAACACCCCATATCAACAGGGTGCCTGAATGAAACGCAATTGTATACCTAACCCTTAACTGTACCCCACAACTTCACAATAAAAAAAATAATAATAATATCAAGCCTAAAAAAATAAAATAAAATAAAATGAGGCAAATGAGTTTATGCTGCCTTTGGGTTACATTCTAACAGGGTCACCTCATGGCCATGTGAAGGCCTCATCTATCCGCAAAAGTGTGACAACCAGGACATGCACCTGGATCCATTCTTTTCATCATCTCCGAGAAAGAAGGCACCATGAAAAAGAAAACTAATTTCACAAGCACAAGGAGAGAGGTTTATTGCTCATGGTGACAGGAGATGGAGCTGAGTCCTGGAAGAATCTACATTTGGTCTGAGATGACTCAAGTCAACTCCCCCCCCGCCCCCGCCACCAACCTGGTTTCTTTGTAAAAAACAGGCAGGCTGTTGGTGAGGCATCTTTGAGAGGTGAGCTGACCACAAGACACACAAACCCCAAATGCCACAGCACGCATGTGAGTGGATTGTCCCTGCGGGAGTCCTAAGGCTCCAAAATCCCCTCCTCCTTCTCCAGGAAGGGGCCTAAGGAAAAGCTGAAACCATTGCAGGGTGATTTTAAAAAGGCATCTTCTGACCGAGCAGGACTAGGAGCTAAGCCCTACATGTGGACTTAGGAATTTAAAAACCTCTCCTTTATGGGCTTCATTTGCAAACTTCTTTAAATGTGTTCACTCAGTCCAACTGCTCACCCGAGTGTAGGCCTGAAATGTCAGAGCACCCCACTGGACTGAAGTCAAGCAAGTAACATTAGGCCCTCTGACTTAGATACTGAAAATCTTGGTGTTTCTATGTGTTATACCTGAGAAAACAATGTTAGATTTGATAAATTAAATGATCAAAATGAGGTAGATAATTCAATTGATAATAAAAAGCCAGGGGTGAGTTTTATAGACTGTCTATAGCTGAAATATGAACGTTTGTCTACAGGTGATTCTAGCAGACTTGGTTGATGCTGATTGGCAGTGCAATAATTTTCTTCTTGCTTCCCTTTCAGTTTTAATGCCTGTGTCCAAATAATGAAAACATCTAATCAGTGGACCCATCTAGAGCTTTTTTCTACATGATGCCAATACAACAGGTTGCATTGCTTTTAAGCAGTTTTAGAGGTACAGTGAAAATTGCGAAAAGCATTTTTCCAGGGAATGTGATATTGTGGGTAGCAGATCTCACTTTTTGGCTAAAGAAGAGGTGAAAGAGATCTGGTTACTGCCAGGAGAGCCATGTTGCCTATCCAGTATAAGGCAAGCAGAAGATTTGCCATAGCCATCCCTCCAAACCGATAGTGATGAAAAGATATTTGCTGCTCGAATTTGACTGTCTATTGACCTCATCCACTGGGCCACTATTCCTCTTTTGTCCAACTATAAAAGTATTTGCTTCTCCCAAAGGTCTGAGTGAAGAAAAAAAAAATTATTTGTGTGCCAAGGGAGATAGTCCTGTGAGGTTCAATTGTGTGTATTGTTTCTGCTCCTTGCATGTTTTCAATGCCAGTGGTACTTTTGGGTCTGGGATAATGGAAGGTAAACAGCTTGTCACTAGAAAGCTCTACAAAGGCAAATCTCTGTCATGATTCAAACTTGGGCGACCAAATGGGCTCTGAACTGGAGCAATTTTGTTTCAGTTGCACGCAGTCGTGTCTGGCAGTGGTGTGCTGGTAGATATTTAATAACCAACTCTCTATGGGGAAAAGGCCCGATTGACACATCAGCTAATTTTCATAGAATAAAAACTCCCACCACGGCTAATTTCAAGCTACCGACATGATGTCTCAGATCACAAAATTGGGAAGGGACATGCCCCGTTGACTCCCCCAAGCAGGTATGAGCACATCTCTGACAGCAAGAAGACAATGTCAAACCTTCCTCGGAAGCTACCTCTGTCTCAGTTCTAGTCTCCATGGAAACTTTGAAACTAGACAAGACTAGGTCAGACTGAGTTGTTTTCCAAATGAGGCGCTAAGAGCTAATAAGACAACATCTCTTTAAGCAGACATGCACTCGCTTCTCTGCCTTTAAGTACTGGGGCTGCCTGGCTGTAAAAACCAATAGGCTCTTTCTGGTTGCTTTCTGTTGGACCAGGTCCTCGCCTCTGCACCTCCAAAGCTAGGACTTGAGGACCTGGAAGGAGACAAGGAGTCATCTGATATCCACTGCTCCTCGTCCTTCCCACTCTGGAGCCGTTGCTTAGAGTGGGGAATTGAGAGATGACCACTCTTAGCATTCATAAGTCAATGTGAAATGGTAAGCAGAGATGCAGTAGACAGAAAGCATGGTCTACCCACCTTGGTTGTTATTAATCAGGCGGGAATGCCAACAGATTGGCATGTGTATTGCAGTTAAGGTAGCTTATAAACACCTCCCTCTCTCATCAGTACACGGCACTTGCTTGACAAACTTGAACAGTCTCTACCTTCAGCTGAAGACTCACAGAAACCAGAATGTGGAGCTACCAGCATCATGAGATGCAGGGCCTTAAAAACCAAGGCTAACTCCCTTCTCAGCTCAGTTCTTGCCCATCCATCTCACAGGACATGCAGGACAAGATGTGTAAGACAAGGTGAAACACTTTCTGCAAATTCAGGTCACAAATGGGGGGAGAGGGAGACCAACCAGCCACCTTCCTCCTGCTTTCACTGAACTCCAACAGTTAGGGCATGTAAATCAGAATAAGGTAATCTTGGTTAGACTTCAAAGACTCTAGTACGCGTATCACCTGCCTATTTAAACCATTTTCATGCTAAGATTGTCTACACACACAAACATTAGCTTTTTTTTCGTCAGAGGAGGGTGACAAAAATTGAAACCAATTTACCATTTCTAAGACAACTGGTCAGCAGCAACTGGGCAGCCACTAGGTGTTAAACGTTTCCCCCTTTGGCGCAGAGCCCAAGGGTCCCAGCTGAGCACACTGTCGTTAGTGCCAGCTGAATAATATTTGGCTTGAAGCAGCCACCTCCACCTCATGGACTAGAGGCACCGAGTTAGATCTGGGGCCAAACGGCCACTGCCAGCCTCGCTTTCAGCATGACTGAAATGTCCCATGGAGACTTTTCTTCAGCATGGAGCCAGCATCCGGTGGTCAGCGAGCAGGTGGATGCCATGCCTCCACGTGTGCCACCAACTCTCTGCATCCTTGATAGTGACAGGACTGTTATCCCCTGTGGGGCCTCAGCTGAGTCTAGGAGCTCAAAGGAGCTTCTCTTCAGAAAGGAAGGCCAGGGCAAGCCCACAATCATCCTTTGGTGATAAATAGGGACAGTCCAACCCCTGCCCTTGAGGAATCAGGAAGCAGACTCCGGAGCCCCTGCAAGCCAGGGGACCAGAATCGCGGGGCTTGCCAGGGGCTGGCGCTGGTGGTGTCTGCCCTGGGGCACCCAGCCCTCCCTCCCTTCTCACCGCTGCCACATTCTGAACTCCCCAGCAGGAGTGTGGTCCTTCACTCAGAGACAGGCAGAATGTTCTGGCTGTGAGAGTCACCTGTGAGACCTGAGGAGTGGATGGAGCGTCTGTGAAGGATCCTGTTCAGAATCTCCTTGCAGCTTTTGCGGTACTGATGTCTCAGTAAGGAGTATACAAAGGGGTCGGACGCGGCTTTGCTGTAGGCCAAGCACTTGGACAGCACCCCCCAGTGGGAGCCGATGGGTGCCGTGGAGTAGAGCTCTACCAGCCTGCGGAGAGACGGGGAAGCCATTACTGAGGGCGCCACCAGGATGGTGCCTGAGCCCCTGGGGACCGCTGCCAAGCCTCCGTTTCTCTGAGACTGCCTCCTCAAGTGACAATGACAAGTAACGGTTTACACCGATTACGATGATGGGGAACATTCACCAGGAACTTATTTTATTCTAAGCACGGTGCAAACTAGGTACTTTCACATGTGATTTTGCCGAGCTCTGGGAGATATGACCACCTCCGTTTTACATGTGAGGAAACAGATGTCCCAGGAGGTTAAATAATTTGTCCAAGGCTACATGGCCAGTAAACTGTAAAGGCGGGGTTTGAACCCGGGTCTGTCTGACTCTGAAACCCAAGCTGAACCGAAAACCAGGTGAACAGCTAGTCATTAGCTGTCCTGGCTGTTGGCTGCAACTCTGCTGCTGACCTGCTGTGTGGTCTTGGGCATGTCTTTTCACTCCTTGGACCTGCATGTCTTATACGAAAAACAGATAGGTGGGACAAGATCGTCTTGATGATCTTTTCAGTTGGAAGAGTCTGGGCCCATCCTTTGCTTCAAATCCTGGCTCTGCCTTGCATGGAAGGAAGGACTGAGAATACTTTTGAAAACATTGTGCAAAGCTCAAGGTATGTCTTGCTTCGGGAAAGCTGGCAGAAAGGCCTCCTCCCAGGTTTGGGATTCTCGTGATCTCTGGCAACAGAAGCAGTCAGAGTACCCTAAAGAGACCTCATTCTTTGGGGTAGGAGCAAGGGAAGGCACAGACCATGTGTCTTAGAGACCTCCTGGAACCCATCAAACAATGCCATTCAATGGCACTAATGCCAGGTTGTGAGTCAGGAAAAGCCTCTCACTGTGTCAATGGAATTCCATCCAAGTCAAGCTGCTTCTCCTCCCTCAAGTCTGTCCACCTTTGGCCACATTTGGACACTATCCAGTATTAATTTAAGGAAGGAAAACCCCACCACGCTAGACAAGAGCTCAGAGATCATAAATCACTCTTTCATCCACCCATTGTCATATGAAGAAATTGAGGCCCAGAGAAGAGAAGGGTTTGCCCAACCTCACACAGCAAGTCAGTGGCCGCGGTAGGTGCAGTACCTGTAGTCCACCCTGACTGGGGCTCTGGTACCCGTATTCTACCTGGGGTACCTGCAAGATAGGAGGCAGTGGTGGCTCTCAACTTGGTGGGGTGCGCGGGGGAGGGCTCAGGCACAGAAAGAACTGAGTTTGAGTTGGAACCATGTTTAGTCGCTGCTTTATTTAGTTGGTTGCTGCCACATTTAGTTGTTTTTTTCTGAAGCCTTCTTTGGGCTGAGGTCGTGAGGACAGACCACAGAGCCGGTGAATGGAAGGAGGAGGAAGCTGGTGGCGTGCTATCCTTCCCTGAAATGTTCTATTGTCAAACAGGCCCTCAACGAGTCTACTCTGAGGCCCCTCTGTTTGGCTTCCCGTTTGCAGCACCACTGTCTGCCCTTGACCTCTGACCCTATAGGGGACTGAGGGTGTGTTCCCTCTCATGTCTTTGGGAGCCTGAGTGGGAAAATGGAGCAGTTAGTATTTAGGAAATCGGTACTTTTAAGAAGTCTATTTTGAGAAGTGATCAATTTAAAGGGACAAAAAAAGTCTTTAATTTAGAAGTCAAACCTAATAATAAGAATGAAATAGCTGAATGCCAACATATTGATATGAAATGACAAATGGCTTTTTCAAAACATCGAGTCTTTTATATATTGCTAAATTCAGTCTTAGTGTTTTGGCTCTCCCAAAAGGATTTATCAAAAGAGCCAAATATCATCAAGCAATCCAGCAAGATCAAAATTATTTGCATGCGATGTAGATTTCACAGAATAAAATTATTTAGGACGATTTAAAATTTATCCATTTAGATAATGAAGAGATCTCAATTAATTAAGTGTCCACCTGGCTCAGTCATAATAATTCCCAGCTGGGTGTCTTCTTTGGACCATGCACTTGTGTGTACAATTTCTAACCTTGCATTATCCTTCAGAATGAGTATCATTATTCCCATGAAATGCACCTACAAGCCAAGGAACGTCAAGAATTGCCAGCAAACCATCAGAAACTAGGGAAGAGGCATGGAACGCATTCCTTTTCACAGCCCTCAGAAGAAACCAACACCCTGATCTTGGATTTCTGGGCTCCAGAACTGTGAGGGAAGACCCCTCTGTGGTTTAAACTACCAAGCGTATAGCACTTGGTTACAGCAGCCCTAGAAAACTGAGATGTGTCCTAAAGAGCCTGTTGTCGCGAGGTCACCTGTTTGTTCTGGGGTCTTTGGCCATAGCAGCATCTAAATGCACCAAGCCCGCACCCCATTCCTTAGCCCCCACTCCCCATATACCCAGGACGACCCTGGAGATTTGTCAATGCATTAGCAGCCTCAGGTGCAGGGTAATTCCCCCTACAGGATTCAGGGCCCGCCCCGACAAACACCGGTCCCTGCCACTTGCCCTGACCTTCCACTAAGCACCAAGGTGACTTTCCCTGTCTTCCCTGGGGTAGGAACTGGAAAACCCTCTGCCTGCCATCAGGCTCCATCCAACAGGAAACATTTATGCTTCTGTGCTCACAATGCACACGTGCCTGCCCTGACACGGCTCCCCTGCCAAAGTCCCCCAGGGTGAGTCCACACACCAGGTCAGCAGGTCAGGTGGGGGAAGGAGAAGGGAGGGGACAGGAGCCCACTTTTTCAGGCCTTTAAAGGGATTCTGACCACCCAGCAGCCTGGGCAGTCCTGGTCCATGGAGGAAGGGTGGGGCACATCTGCCAGAGCTCTGAGGCATTCTCTGAAACCCTGGAGAGACCCATGTCCTGATATTCCTCAGTATCAGAAATCCCCAATGAAAGTGGGTTCTGGGGTGAGAACAGGACCAATGAATGATACAAGCAGCCCTGGACCCAGCACCTCCTTTGGTCCCCCAGGGGTTTGGGATCTCCTTGACTGCTTTATAAACATCATCTCAGGCCCCTGTTATTACTCTTTCTTGTCAAAGCCACGTGGCCTGGAGTAGAGAAAACAGGATTTGGATTTGCATAGTGGGTGCCAGCAACCTTGTGCCTTCCCAGGGCCAGGCTGCCCCAGGAGCCTCCTTGACGTGGGTTCTTGTTCCATGGTGTGGTTAAGCACCTTTAGTTTCAAATCCTTAAAGTGATAAATTAGTGTCCTCACTTTGCACCTTCTCTGCCACTGTCATCTCTCCCCTCTCTTTCTCCCTTCTCCCTCCCCCTATAGGCACATGCACACACACATACACGCTGTGCACTAAATGCAACATGGCCCACAGAAAATCCTTTGGGAAGCCAGTCCAAGAACTTTCCAAGACTTCGGGAGAACTTGGCCAGCATATTTGAAGACCTGTAAGTAATAAGCTGATGCTTTAAATGTTCATGAGCCATGAGTGGAAAAATCATTTTATTCATAGAATATTAGCATTTGGGAGTCATCTGCACATTAAACCCCTCTCCCAGCTACACGATTCCATTACTTTGAAAAGCCTCAATGTTGGTGCTGTCAGATTTGAAAACGCCTCAAAGCCTGATTCCGATGATTTAGGACAACCATAATTATTTGTAAGCATACGTCGCTGCAGAGACAATAGCCTTACAAATGCTTCTAGATACAGGAATTTTAATTCAGAAAATATTTAATTAGAGCTTTTGGATGATAATTTGTTGTGGATCTGCAGACTCTGCTCAAACACTCTGGGAAGAGTCCTACGCGACCCAGGGCTTTGAGGACACAGAGCCGTGTGATTACAAATCGGAGGTGTCAGACTTCTATTAAGACTGAAAGTGGAGCTTTGCAAATGATTCCCACTGTGGTCTCACATGTCCCAGTGCACAGGTGCAGGTGGCTGTTTGGCTGGCACAGTTGGATGGACTGTCTCTCTGAAAATGCCAGCCACATCCGCCCATAGCGCTGGCCGCCAGCACTGATGGCCTCTTGGGCTCCACTCCAGCTACGCAAACTGCTGTTAGTCAGGTAGGGAACCAGAGATGACTCAGCTCAAACCCACTATTTTTGCTAGAGAGACTCCCATGTCTGCTTTACCCACAGGAGCCTGGATGCCATCTGGGTCCATACCAAGGTTCTTACGCTCGGGCACAGGAAGTCAGACTAAAAACTGACACATGGGGCATCTCTTGTTTCCAGTGCCTGGCCCTCAGTCTTTGGAGATGTAGCATGGCCCAAAGGCTAAATTATAGCCAATGGGCCCGACATTGACCTTCAACCCTTGACTCGGTCACTCACTGCCCAAGTGGCCTTGAGCAACTAATCTTACCTCTCAATCTCTGTAAGACTAGGGTCTCGTAATGACCTTGCAGGAGAGCTTCACTAAGGTACACACTGATAAGCTCAGGTACTTGACAGGAGTTCACTGAGTGACAGGTGTGGTTACGAAAACATCACATTCTCTAACAGGAAGCTTGAGAACTTGTGTGAAGACTTGGCTGGTTCTTTTAAACACTTGACCCAAGAATGATATGTCCCCATCTGAGAGAGTTATCAGGCAGATGCGAACAGATCGGGGACAAAGAGGAGGACCCCCTCCCAGCCAGCAGGATCTTCTCAATCAACTCAAAAGGGTGGCAGATGTTATAGCAGAAACCTCCTCTCTTCCTCGATATTCTTTTTTTTTTTTTTTT